ATATTTGCTTGAACATTTTGTTATAGTATTTAATAAATGTAATTAATTAGAATTTAATGTGAGATGTTTTAAGCCAGATTTTATGTTTTAAATGTAATCACAAAAGCCACACATACTGAAACCACAACTCTTTTGGAATATGATGYGAGTACACAAGAAGCTTCGCCAGTAATGGAGTTGGTTATTTTATTTGGGGTTAAAAGTTCACCACACCCCTCAAAGAAAGCTTTTATTTCTCCATGGACCAAACAAGATTATTATTCATTGGCTTCCCAGGGGTTACTTTTTAACCTAACAATAGGTGGACTGCTGAGGATATGACCACAGCCTTTAAGAGCTAATCAATATTCTGCCCTTGTAACCAAGTGTGTAGACTATAATAACCCCCACAAACTATATTACAAAAGGCAGAGAATTAATATGAAAATGTAAAAAAATAAAAAATTAAGCCTTTTTTCTGCAAACCTGGAAAAGTAKTAGCAGTAATGGATTGACACAACTTGTAGTTTAAAGCCTGCTCACTGTTGAAAACGTAGCACAAAGCTTGGAATTCACTATTGTGGTTTAGATTTTGAAAATCTACCTGACTAGTCATCAAGGTACTGTATATAGCATATGTTGTTTTACCTAAAACATAATTTATATGACATTAAAACATTTTCCTGTCAAACGATCAATCTGCCTTAAGAAATCCATGTGTTGCTGGTTTGTTCTTCTGTTGTGTCATTCTCCTCCACTTTTAAAATTGTGCCTAATTCTGCTGTTATGCTTTGTGTTCCATCCATGACTGATGATAAATGATAATCTAAAGAACACACTGATGGATGTCACTGTGTCCACTTAGCACATTAAATTTTCACTGAGTTGCARTATGTCTTTAGATACAAAGAGTGTAGGTTCACAATGCTGACAAACTCGGTGAAGCTAAAAAATGACTAAGGAACTATTTGAATGACTGAAACAAGATTCAAACACAGACTTGAATGGACGCTTCTCGTACATTACTAAAGGGAAAACAAATAAATACAAATGTATATTTACATTATACCAGCTGTAGAAAGGTTACTGGTTCTCTGATTTGAAAACCATGTGTGACCAAAYTTGTAAAAAAAAAAAACATTCCTAACACATGATGCAACCCACACTCAAACACATTTACCAGGAATTGGATTGGAAGATACTGTATGCTAGGACATGACTGTAATCTGACCAAATGTGTGTTAAAATATTCACTGACTTAGAGCTAAATTCTAAAGATGTTAGAAATATGATGTTTGATAATAGTAGTGTGTTGAATCAAAAAGACAAATGCAATAATTTAACATATAGACAGTGCTGTAAACGGGTGAGGAGTACTGTAGTATCTTCTAACAACTTAATTCAACTTTGCAAAAAGCAATTTTGTTTTCACTAGCAAATACAAACAAAACTGAGTCAAATATTCTAAGCAACCTATAAATACTATGTTGCAGGTTACTGCTCATGTTCCACCATGTCATATTCAACTGGCAGCCCATGGGCCAAATCTGGCCCGTGAGCGACCAAAGTTCGGCCCGCCAATTGGTTCATTCATCTCTTAAGCCCAAACCCCCGGTTTTCTTCTTTAATTACTCTATTTTAGTTACATGTTTGGTATCTACAGAAACATCAGAATCTTGGCTACAAGCTGGTACAAACCATTTCTATGCACACTCAAGACAGTTAAAACTACAAGCAATTGAAGATAGAATTATTAAAGTGAAAATAAAATTGGTTTAAAAATTTGGCAAGTCAGAGATGTCAAAATAATGTGTCAAATATGAGGCATAACGTGTTCTTTTTGTTTTTGATATTGTTGAATTATGACTACTTTTATAGGGTTCTGTATGTTGTATTCATGATTAAATGCAGCAAAATAAACTATTTCAATGATAACAGATCTGTGYAATACTTGGTTTATTTACATAATGGCTTTAATTGCTGGATGTTCGGCCCCTCAGCTGTTGACCTGCAGTAACTGTGGCACACAGAGCAATTTAGTTGAATAGCCCTGCTCTATCATAAACAATAATTCTGTAATCCTTCTTTCTGCCAGAAGAGGGAGACAAGTTCTGAACTACAGATTTAGATAAACCCAGCTTTAGTTCTTGTCTCAATCAGCTTTCCTCCACAGCTAGAATCGAACGTTTCTGATATCTCATGCCGTTTTGTGACAGACAGCTACATAAAACACAACTTCAAGACCGAACCCTTCTCATCTTATTGGAAACTCTTACAATATTTACTGACAAAATGAGTCTGACCAGAGTGTTGACATAAAGAGAGGCAGAATCACCACCTGGAGTGTTTGAAGCTGACATTCCATTACTTGTTTAAATGGTCATTTGGTCAGAACCATTTTAATCAAAAATATGTTTAAACAATCATCTGTGACCATTTGTATTTGAGAGTCTGCTTGTTTTATGACCTYCTCTGTGCCTTTCCACAGGCATGCATGAGATGCCTGAGGCATGGAGAGCAGCAACAACCTGCCCAGTAGAGAACACAGCAGGTATCAATAACATAATAAAATATATTGTATGAAATGGAGAGGCTGAGGAGGAAGAGGTAATGCACCAATGGCAGCAAAGATCAGAGTTGTAAAGTAACTAAGTACAAATACTTTGCTACTGTACTTCAGTRGAAATTGTGGTTATTTGTACKTTACTCTAGTAATTATTTTTCAGCATACTTTTTACTTTTACTCATGACATTTWTACACAATYATCTGTACTTTCTACTCACTACATTTTTAAAAAGGTAAGAAGTAGAAAGTMGTTACTCCTATTTTATTCTGAGCTGTTATTACTTAAAAATATACTATCCTGATAGAGTGAATTTAATTGTGGTTGGATGAGAAGTATAAATATATACCATTCTGACTCACTATTAGCTTGTACACAACCCATCACAGCTGCATGCTGTTAGAAAAATATTTTTTGGAGAAGTCACCTCCCAATAAATGTCATTTTGGAAAATCTAACTATTCACTCTTACTCAGTACTTTTACTTTTAATACTTAAGTAGATTTTGTGTCAGAAATTTACGTTTGATACTTAAGTACAAAAAATATCAGATACTTTAAGCCTTTTACTCAAGTAATATTTTTAGAGAAGACTTTAACTTTTACCAAAGTATTTTTATGATAAGATACTTGTACTTTTACTCAAGTAATATTTTTAGAGAAGACTTTAACTTTTACCAAAGTATTTTTATGATAAGATACTTGTACTTTTACTCAAGTATCACTTTGAGGTACTTTATACAACACTGGCAAAGATTTCAGATTAAAAGTTCAGTTGCTCATTCTGTACGTTGTTTTCCTTCAGCTGCTTCTTTCTGCAGGGGGTGCCTCGATGAGCAAACTCACATGAAACATTTGCAAATTGTTTTACAACTAATGCTCTTTGCATACCTTCATACCCAAATTGTGATACTGAATACRGACTTAAAAACATACTAAACAACCTATAACAATAAAAAAATTAACAGACTCCCACAAATTATTCACTTTTTCAATGAAGTGTGCAAAGTGCAAGAGTCTGTAGTTTGGCACGACGTGTCAGAGTAAGAGCCAAAACACTGAGCTCCTTTTCTTTTTACTGAATCAAAGATGGTCTTAAAAAGAGAAGTTGATTTAATTGAGATCAAAGACGTTCACTCCTTCTCTGTTAGGCCAATTATAAAGAAAAAAATGGAAACATTAAGATGAACTCCTGAGACTGTAAGAATAAACTACATAACATGATTTTAACTGATTCACATTATCTATTAGGGATGTATCTATTCACTCAAGCCCTGATTTGGTTATCGATTTTAAGTTCATGATTATGGTTATTTTTTTATATTTTCTTTATATTTTTTTCAACAAAATTAATTATAGACATTTTCTTTTATTTTACCATCAGCTGTTTTGTCCTTTTATCAAACTATAACTGTCTGTTGACTTAGAAACAGTATATAACTTCAAAACAGACAAAAACCGCAAATCCTTTTGTGACCAACTCTGTTTGGTAGAACAAACTATGGAAACATTATCGACACATTATCCAACATCTTTTTTTTTAATCTGCATTTTCCTTTCTGACGTGCAGCATGACAGCGCAGTACTTATTYAGAAAAAAAGATCTTTCTGRGTGGAGTTTGCATGTTCTCCCTGTACGTTTTTGGTCTGTGGGAAGAAACCGGAGTACCTGAAGGAAACCCACACATGCGTGGGGAGGACACACAAACTCCACCCTGAGAGGCTCCAGACTGGGAGGTGGTCCTGCGACCTCAATGATAACCACTGCACCACGCTTATGTAAACATTAGCCAAGTTAAATTCCGCATTTGAACACGCTGCCATGCCTGTTGTTGCAGATTATAGTGGTGGACTTTTCAATTTGCTTTCAAGTGGCTGGTAGGATGCGCAGCATAAAGCAGTGAATATTAATAGGGGGGAGGGATAATATTTGAGGCGCTGCTAAGCACAGCATTCTCTCAAAAGACATTTAAAATGGGTTTAATAAATTACTGATGCAAAAACAAAAAAAAAACTTGTGGTTACGGACTGGATGCCATGTCTGACAAAAATATTTTTGTGTCAAAGATGGCGRTGTATTTCAAAAAGCATGTAAGTATTTACTCAGCATTCAGGATAGTGTTTTTTTTTTTCATGAATAAAGCCTCTGGGCTGTTCCGTGATACTATAACTCATTCACTCAAAGTGAAATCTAGATTTCTGGTAGCAGGCAGAAAAGGAAATGCTTTGCTTGCATTTTCTGCAGGCTWCACTAAAATCCATCCAGTGGTTCATGAGATTTCATTTGCTAATATGACCAAACAAGCCCACACATACATGAACAAGCAGACACAAGCAAAAGCATTATTCGTCCTTTCACTTTCAGCAGTGGGTAATAAAATCCAGTTTTCAAAAAAAATATTGTTTTTTTTTAATTGACTTGAAAATTAGTTCCTGCTTCTGTAATCGCCAGGCTAAAAGGAGTTGTGTATTAAAAGCATTGTGCCGCAATTACTAAGGGTCAGCAGGAAATTCTATACAGTTGGTCATTTTATGTGATGACAAAGTTGTGCAGATTTGGCAAGCGCCTGAAAGAGCATTTTACCCAGTATTACTCAACGCAGCATTAAGGCAGTTGACATTTAGGAGCACATAAATCATGAAGCTGAGCATGAGAGAAGAAGCAGCACAGCACCAGAAAGGCCCGGCACTAATATTACGACACAATCACACAACTTTAAACAAYGACTGAAACAAGTGATGATTTATCAACCTCAAATAAATGCTTTTTTTTAATTTCACCAGACGAATCATAGTRAGATCTCAGATTTCTTTGCCTGGGCCTGAAGCTAAACATGTCCACACGAGGAGAATATGCAAATTCCACAAAAATCCGAACCTTCCGGGTCCAATAATGGTCACATTAGCCTGCAGTGTGAACATAGCCATAGACGTGTTGTGTTCAGCAGCTTGCACAAACACAAAACAAGTGGATGATTACAACAAAGAGAAAGAAAAAACAGAATAAATGTAATTGTGTTCTCCTGATAGTGTGGTGCCTCTAAGATCCAAAACACCACATCAAAGAAAACACTTCTCAGGGTGCTGGTAGTGTTGAAAGATTACTTTTCAAATTGCTTTCAAAGCTGAGCCGTCCAAATATTTTTAATGCTATTTCAGCTTTGATAACTAACAAGGACAGTGAGTTATTCACTAGCAAGAGCCATGTGAACATGTTTCAAAAAGGTTCTACAGTGGCTTCTTAAAAACATAGCAAATCTGCCTTGGATATTAAACTGTGAACCATGTCTGAAAATTACTWCTTTGCTTTTCTCTCTGCTTCACACCCAGCTTTCTAACATTTTTGCACAACAAAATAGAAAACATAAAAAAATCAACCTAAAAACTATAAAGCAGAACAGAGAATTTCAATAAACGCACTCTCAAATAAAAGAACACATGTAAGAAAGCCAGAGCAACAAAGAGCAATGCTCCTGAGACGTATAGTCATGCTTCTGCGTGTATAATGAAAACCATCTAAAAAGAAATCAATAAAGCGCTAATCTGTGATTCACCATGGCAACGTGTAAATAACAAGCAACTCAACGTTTTCATTCATTCAAGCATGAACGTAGCTGGTGGAGACTGCGACCATTTGTTTCTTAAAAATAGCAAGAATATAAAAAAAAACAGCCTTATGAGCTCAGATGGTTGTTCTCAGTGCTTCCCACAAATCCATCTGCTAAGGATTAAAAACGGATCATCTTAGCGATATTTTGTCAGAGAAAAGCAGGTGAACTGTAAGAAATGCTTGTTATTTTGCCGACTAATCCCTGTTTCAGCTCAAACTGACAGACTGCAATTTCTTCATTTCTTTCTGCTGAACCTTGATTAACAGTTATTCTTACCTGRGTTTTGACGACATCTGGCGACTCAGTTTTGCAACGTCTGTCTTCATCTCCAGAGTTTGCAAAGTTTGACTAATTTAAATAACCTTGAGCGTCTCTTTTATTAATCAGGCGGCTTGTTTTCATCGAGTTCAGAACAGGTAGACTGCGGGAAGAGAGAAGATTAAAAAATGTAGCGAGGAAGAAATCCAATTACTGCAGCATGTTTTTTTTTTTAAGAACAAAATCATGAATTATTTTAAAAAAGGGGGGAATGTGATTAGGACAGTGTACTGTAAACACCACAATCATCGAAATGTTTTCACAAAACCTGCTTTTGTGGGTTAGAAAATACAAACACGACAACAAAACCTAAAATATGGATCAACAGAAATGTGTTTTTTTGTTGTTTTGTTTTTAGAAATGAATATCAGCTAATGTGTTCAAGGTTTTGATTACGCTATTCCACAAGATTTAGTTTTAAAAGCCCATCGTATGCTAGAAGAAAGAAAGAAAGAAAGAAAGAAAGAAAGAAAGAAAGAAAGAAAGAAAGAAAGAAAGAAAGAAAGAA